GTTCAGCAGTGTTTGGAGTTGATGCAGTGAGGAATGGAAAATCTCACCATATGGTGTGTACTTTACCTTTTGTGGTCTTTGTACTGTCACATATGTTGAAAAGCTTGCATCTCTTCTCACTGAAGGAAGAGAACCGTCTTCACTCCTTTGGTTGTTTTTACCTCAGCTGAAAAATGGCCATAAAGTTCTATAGCTCTCAGGTTTAAAAAAAATCACACTGTCACATTAACTTATCTGAATCTGTCAGCTACAGCTAAAACCAGCATGTGAAACTGGATTACTTTGACGACCTCTGAATCCCTCTACTTGCACAGCTCTCAGTAAATCCTTGTTATACTTTCAGCAAAAATCAGAGGAAAGGATTTTTTGTTAAAATATCATTTTGATATTCAAAAAGCTTCCAGCTGAATTATCAGAAACAAAAACTTCAGGGCTAGAATATTACATTTACCAATAATTTTAGCCCCTATGGCTCCACCTTGTGGAACAACACAGCTATCACAATCAACAGAAAAACACGTAAATCTGTCTGGGAAAAAACTAATTGATGTTAATTGCAACTGGTATAAAAATCAAAAAGGTTTCCCATTTTACTTTAACATGGGCAGAATAGCTCAATATCACATTTTAGCCTTGTAGAAATAAATAAAAAGTCTCTGTACTTAGTGTTAATGTTATATTTTTTCAAGATATATTCCACATAAAAAACAAAACTATTTCAATCAAAACTATTTAAATATACAGTACTTCACAGCAGAAAGGCTCTGCATTTAAGAACATACTGTATAACCTGTACCACTGGTTTCTTCTAATGAGTTCCTACATACTGTATATTGTTAGAATCAATATTTGGAAAAATCTGGATTAGTGTGGCTATACAGTGGCCAAAAGCCTTTAGAGATGATTTAAAACCCCCTCTTTAGAATGGACTGAGGTATGAGAGAGGGAATAATAGTGTAAGTTTTTTAATAATATTGGTGATCTAATCTGAGTCAAAAATGACTGACTCCTGTAGATGGACATGAAAAAATTATTTAGAGGAGGCTGAGACAGGGAAGAAGCTCATAGAGATGAGGGCGACAGAGGTAAGACCTGCTGTAGTTGGTGAACAAGGTAACGTTAGTTTAGTTAGCTAGTACGTAACCAGGTGCTCTGTACATCAATGCATATGATCAATTGGACTAAAACGTTATCAGTGTACTACATGAAATAAACTAACTGACAAATACAATACATAATATATCACATGTAGCAGTCTTTATTAACATTGGACTATTGATTGTACATTTAATGAATAGCCTATAACATATTTGATGCTCTTGTCACACAGTCCAAATATTGTTTGTTTTATGCATTTTTAGTGAACTGGTAAACCTACTGTAAGGCAGGAAGGGAAAGTGTGGAGGAAGCTGACTGTGCAGGGAGACAAATGTGGGAGCTCCAGCCATCCTTTGCACAATTTGAAATAATTGGAGCATTGATATGTTATGTGGCCTTATGAGTTACAAAAAAATAATGATTGCGTTTTTCTTTAAATTAATTATTTGTTTATGGATCAATTTGTTGTGAATGCTTAAATTCGACAAATCAAACAGTAGTTATTGTAAAATGCAGATGAATGCAAAGAAATCTGTAATACAGGTTTAGACTTTAATGCCATAAGAACATGTCAAGAATGTTTTGAATGTATGCTGAAATAAATACTTTCAGAAAGATGAATATCTCTACATGTTTACCTTTAGATGTTTCAGTTTCAGTAGCAGCAGTATGTCACGGGGACAATGGGCTAAGAAATGGAAGTTCTCATAGCACAATGTATAGCACATTTCATTTATGCAGCAGACATTCAAGAAAGAAATGTGTGAATTGAATATTGGGGTGCCTGTGCCCCAGTAGAGCTTTATTCCTAGCAACGCCCTGGGACGCAGCCCTCTGGTTTGTCTCGCCTCTGCATTGCTTACGAAAGTGTCATTTCTCTCATGGGACATCAGCAGTCAGTTTAAGTCGTCTCTTTGACACGCTGGAAAACTCCCAATCTCTGCTGATTAATTACTACAAATAGCCTAAATTTTAACTGTCGCATGCCCTCTAAATTAAACTGTCAGAATAGTGTTACATGAATCGACATTGGCGATGTAAAACTCACCCTCTGGAGTGCAGTCTCTTTATTCCGGACAGTCACCCTCGGTCACCCCATTTTCTTTTATTATGTTGTAAGATTGCCTAGTGTCTGGACATCATTTATGTGATATTCTGATTAAGTGGTATGAACAGGACTGGCCCATCGGTGTCACCATATTATCACTACTTTTAAATGTTTATTATGGCAGAGATGTGCTTCCGTTCCTTGGCTCCTGGATTCCTGAATCATTTCCTATTGGTCCAAAGCCTGGATATTTCGGACTATGGGATATATTAAGGAAAACCTGGATCTCGGATGCAAACACGTCTTCCGGTCACGTGAGAGAACGTCGCTCGCTTGGCGCATACCTCCCTACAGTCGAGATGAGCTGGTCTTCGAAATATGTTTCCCCATAAAGATGTTTCCCCCTGCTAAAACCGGAAGTCTCGCAAGCCAACAGAATAATTCATCGTCACTTTTTTCACCGGTGTTATGTCGAAATTTGTTTCCCCATCGAGAAAAGGGGGAACACATCTCCACGGGGGAACACTTTTCGACACAATAAGGCCAATGTATTTAACTGAAACATATATATTATGTGTATATTAAATATTTGCTTTTAGATGTGCTGCTACGGTGAATGAATTTTTTTATTACATAACTCATGTTCTTGGACAAGGTTAATGTGTGGGGCTTTAGTTCAGCACGTTGAGCACAGATGCCTGAAACTAGTTCAAGGTCCACTCTGTCAGACTTAGCAGCTCAAGTTCTTCTTCTTTTTTTTTAATTTATTTGTAAACTTTGGCCACTACACCTATAGTATCACATGCTATAAAGGCATTTACAAATGATGTAGCTTTGAGAGTAAATGCTGGTATTAGTGATGAACTTCTTCATGTGTCAACCAATCCCCCATCTCTGCAGAAGCAGGAAGTCCACACCAATTTCAATTAAAGTTCTTGCTACTTAGAAAGGCATCTCAGAAGAAAAATGAGTTGTATAATGAGGACTGATCACCTTTGGAGCTGCAAAGAATCCCTTCATATTTGCCAGAATTATTGCTAATTAGTTAGTTTTGAGTCACAGCTTATTGGCTGTACCGTTTTGATTTATCCTAATTACATTAATCCAGTTCTTATCCTATTCTATTCTATTTTTATTCTACTTTACTCTATTTTAGTTCCTAAATGTTATATGGCATTATCATTTTTCATGCAGGTACCCAGTGGACTGAAGTTTCAGTTTCTGTAAAACAGAGAATGATCTATGTTTGCTAAAATGGACAAGGCCACTGACCGATTAATCAGAGAACTAATACAATTTTATAAAAGAAGTCAAGCAATCTGAGATTCATCACAAGTACATACCTGAACCAGTTTCACCAACAGGTTTTTGGCACTGCAGATGGAAAGTAACTAAGTATATTTACTCAAGTACTGTACTTAAGTACAATTTTGAGACATCTGTACTTTACTTGAGTATTTTCATGTTCTGCCACTTCATACTCCAACTTCACCTTGTTTCATAAAAAATTGTACTTTGTACTAACTACATTTATTTGTTAACTTTGGTTACTAGTCACTTTTCAGAATGAAGTTAATAAAAAATACAGTATAATCACAAGATTTGTTGATCATTGGTGTAATATTCGCAAGCCACTTAGCAGTAAGTACATTTTCTGTTTTTTTGTGATCTGACATACCCCTTTATCAGAAATCAGTTGATGATTGGACAATTCAGATGAAACATTTGAGGAAAGGACATCTCATGTCGTTAATGACATTTCGTCGAGTCCTTTCTTCTCATGTTTTGCTCGCATATTTTTCTTGCATCTTAAGTGGGTGGGAGTAAGACACAAGGAGAAGATGCAAGTGAAGGAAATGACGGTGCTTATAAGATCCATGAGATGTACTTAATAGGTTAATCTGAATTCCCTTATTTTATCGCTCCTCTGTCCTCGATCCTGACTTGATACAGAAGTCATTCAGGTCTGCCATGAGGAAGGATGTCCCAGAGCTCTTATTTCTGCTTTGAAGACAGAGGAGGCTGCTTGGAGGAGCTAAAACTGAGGATACATGAGTGTATTCTTCATAAAAGTCTGTTACAAACTGACACACCCTTTGTTTGAACATCAGTTTGTGATTGGATGATTCACATGAGGGCTTGAGGAAAGGATGTTTCAAGTCAGTTAAAATGTGTTTCCTCAGTTCCTCTCTTCTTGCAGTTTCCCCTTGCATCTTACATGGGCAAAACTGAGACGCGAAGAAAGCACACAAGTGAGGGAAATCTGGATGCGATTAGGTGAACTGGGATTCACCTTATATGGGAATTAGATAAAGTGTACTGTGGTCTGAGAGGGGCTCTTGCCCTAACAGTGTAGGCAAGTTTAATGTTACCATAGCACTTGTCTAATATTTTATTGTCATGGGTGAAGCATTTGACATACTTTTTGAAACAGGGAATACCATTTCAAGTTTACAGTGTTTAAAGTCTCAATAGAGCATGAGATTGACAGGTGGCTGATGCTGCCATCAGCAGTAATGCAGATGGTGTACTGGACCATTGTGGTGAAGAAGGAGCTGAGCCGAAAGGCAAAGCTTTCAATTTACCAGTCAGTCTATGCTCCAACCTTCACCTATGGTTACAAACTGTGGGTAGTGACTGAAAAAATAAGATTGAGAATACAAGCTGCCAAAATGAGTTTCCTTTGTTAGGGTGGCTGTAAGCTGGAAGATACCATCTTAGATGACGGTGGAGTGAGGAAAGACAAAGTGAATTGGTATTTTCCAGCTTCTGATCAACTGAACACAAATGATCCAGGTAATCAGGAGTGGGTAGGGCGGCAGCCCTAGAGGACTGGGAAGGGCCACCTCAGCTCTAAGCTGTATGCATCAGCTATCATTCATGTATACGTACAGTATGTAGACGCAGCTGCTGCTGGTTTTCCCTGACATGCTGGGGCTGTGGGAGGCGAAAACCCATGGAGGAAAATCCACACAGAAAGGCCCTGGCTGCCTCTGAGGTTCTTTCTTGGTGTGTGGTGACAGTGCTAACCATGCCACCCTGCTTATCAATAGTTCATGCATTTGGTTTTGCAAAACGAGATCAATACCTTATCTGTGTGTAGGAAACATTCCTACAGGCTATACAGAAAATAGCATCATCAGAGGGATAAAGCTAAAAGCTTGCTATTATTCATGGTCACCACCCAAACACGCTGCAAAGATAAGCCTGTAGGCTAGTGAACATCACAGCTCAGGCAAGAGCAAGAATTTTAGAAATACTGAGGTCATAGATCAAGGAAAACAAACTTTTGTAATTTTACACCATGACAGTCTACTGCCTATAATTTTATTTTATCTTAATAATTTTATTTTCAACAGAAAAGCCACCAATCAGTGGATGGAAATACATAATGGAAAAATGTTTAATTCTATATCAGAAAATTATGTTAATTTTTACATCTAAGAGGATTTTCATATTTCACAGCTCCGTCGTTGGGGTTGATGGGGTGATCAACGTGAAAGCAGTTCCATTTGTTCTAATAGGCTAGTATTAAGCAGTTCTTGTGTGGAAATACCTGCTTCCAAATATTTGCGGCTTTTACAGTATATAGTGAGGAGTCGGGTCGTTACGTCACTGCCCGGGGTTTTCTAGTGAAGTGAATCCTACGGCATTATGGCGGAGGCCGGTTGGCGGAAGACCCTGGATTGAAATGCTAGCTTTCTATCATCGCAGTTGACCATCGAACACTAGACTTTGCTTACATCTAAAACGGAAAAGGGGGCTTACTGGATATTTGGAGAGAGTGAGAAACAACACTGCACCACTGTAACCACAGTGAGTCGTTCGGGGCTTCTCTCCCTAAGTGGGAGATCGCTAACGTTAAGCTAGCGTAAGCTAGCTTTAATGCTAGCTATCAGTAGCTGCTAGCTTACTTGTTTAATAAAAGAAGAAAGGACCTCTGAAGTGGAAAGGCGGATTCAGATAACAATTTCTCTCGAGTTTCCCGGGAAACAACACCAGGTAACAGCGAGGAGTACTTATCCCCTAGTTCAGCGAAAAAGTAGATTAACATTGCATGTTGATTTGGAAAAAACCGCGAGAAGTGAACGGCGAAAGAAAACAAGATGGAAGAGAGTGAAGTTAGGTTAGCTAAGTTGGGTTTGTGGGTTTAATAATTAATACTAAACAAATTTAACTGTTCGCTGTGCTCTTCTAACGTTACTTGGACAGACGTTTTCATAGTTAACAGTTGTCCGTTAAACGACATTCATCGACTAGTACCAGACAGTGAACAGTCCAGCGGTTCCCTGCGAAAATGAAGTAGCCCAAAGTTTTGTCATTTTGTTAGCTTCCGTGCTAGCCTCGTGCTTCATAATGTTTGCTAACGCTAACATTACTTTTATTGACAGCCTAAGTGCAGGCTTGAATATTATCTTTTTCAATTCATGTTTACTGAATCCACGTAGATGTAATGTAAATCAACAAAATGGCACGCACATGGTTGCGGCACATGTTGTATAATCATAGAGGGTTATGATTACATAGAGGGTTATGGTTACAACGGTTATGATTTTACAGTTGTGAAAATCATAATGCTAGCATAACACATACGAGTTAAAACTGCAGTTCGTTACGCAGGACCCGTTCAGTATTCTGTAGCAACGAAGTGGCTAGCACTATTTAAACGCTGGTGATAACGCTAATACGATAATACCAATTGTTGTGGGATTTTGTTGTCAGTTTCAATTTGTTAATACAATACTGTCTGGCGCGTTGGTCGAGATGCATACTTTGGCGTCATTAGCCGGTATTAGCCAGTTAGCTACAAGCTAAAGAGTAGCCACGGGAAGACTACATGACACCCGAATTGATGAAAGAAAGGTTGGTATAACGCGTTTTGTTAGCCTTGACCAAGTCAGTGTGGTTGTTTTAGTGTTCAGAAAGCCTACGAAGTTTTGTGTAACGTTAAATGCGAAAACACGCTGCTGCGAGGCCTGATAAGTTAGGCCTTGTCGGCGAAGGGACAAACGCAGCCAAGTTAACTAACGTTACTTCAGCTATAGCCGTTCACACAGGATCGTATCTTCTGATGTGAGATGTTCATTAAAAGCATATTTAGGGCTAGCCTTTCAAAGAACTAACGTTAAAGCCTCAAGCATAGAATATCATAGAAATGTTGACTTTTTAAAGGGCTTACAAAAAGACATAGACAGTTCGACTTGAGCAGTTAATTGGTTGAACTTGATGAGAGGATTTACGTTGTCTGTTGTGGTATTGCGAGCCTCTAATGCGTTTAGTTTTAGCATGAAATTTGTTTGTATGGTGTTATTTTTCCTTGTGCTGAATTTTAGGTAGCACAACCGTATTACCTTATTTAAACCCTCTTTGTGCACAATGCTGGGAAAGCATAGTGTTATTGAAATTATACAGTTTTGATGAAGGCACAGTCTGGGTATTTTTCAGGCAGTATTATGATTGTTGTTCATGTGCATCTTCTCTCACAGGTTAACCACGTCGAACATAATACTACAGGTTGCCAAGGTGAAGTCTGCATATTGGACTTCAACATGGCTGGACGCAGTGAGGACGAAAGTGTAAGCAACAGCAGTGGAGAATCTAGGTAAATCAGCTTTTCATCTTAGAACATCAAAGTAGTGTTTTGGTGCTGATTAAAATCTGTTGATTTTATTAATGTGCCATCTCAGATGATATTGTCTTACTGAAAATAATACCTGAATATATGTACATTATTTTTGCACATTACAGGGGGATAGCTGCTAATATTTTAAGGACTGGCCCCACAGGCCACCAAGCCTCTAAATGTGGTGGCCCAAATGTAAACATGTAAAAACTGTACAGAAAAGGCAATTTAACACAACATAGCCTTCCTTAACTGTGATGCTTCAATAAATGAAAAAACATTTACAGAATGGTAATATGATTATTTATACTGAAAACGCAAGGTAATTATAAACATAGACTACATATAATCTCTCTCTTAGTTCACAGACTTGTTTTTGCATCCCCCATGCCTCTGCTTCATACTCAGTGTTCTGTTCCCAGCATTGTGCCTGAGTGATGTCTGTAATAGAAATATTACAAAAAACATTTGAAAATTATAATGCAAACTTTCAGCTGTAGCCTTCTTTGTCAAAATACATGGGCTAAATCAATATATTTTTTGTAATATAAGAGATTCGATAAAGCTTGGTGGCCACAGCAGGCCACCTGTTCAGGATGTATGGTGGCCACGCAGTAAATTTTTGTGGCCACAAGCACTCTGGGCCCTAATGTGGAAACCTGCTGCTGCCCTCCTCCTACATCTCTCTCTTCAGCTTTCTTTTCCTGACCTTCTTTTGCTGCATCAGCAGCATTGGTTGAAACCATAGAGAAATAGAGCGGGGCACAGAGGGGCTGAGTGAATACATGTGCTATGCATGGAAATGCACTAAAATAAGATTTAACCTATTTTAAATCAATATGTGGTGGTCAATGTTGATATTGCATGCTGGTAAAAGTTGTGCAAAGTTGAGCTTTTTTTTTCAGCTACATTAATGCAGTTGTCTCACTGAATAAAAATTAATGATAGGGCTATATTTTTGATATCAGTGCTGTCACTGGTAACAAGCCAAGTTATGCAGAACTAAAGTGTCTGATTGCCAGCATTTTGTTTTCTGTACATGGTGTTATATATGCGCTGCAATAAAATGTTTTTGATGAGTCTGTTGTGTTAAACCTATTTGATTTTTGAATGATTTATCTAATAATTACTAATGCACAAATGTGTACTTCATAATTTTCTCTTATTATGCTGCAGTAATTCTGATGATGAATCCGGATCGGGCTCAGCTTCAGGGTCTGGCTCAGACTCGAGTTCCAGCTCCTCCAGCAGCAGCAGCAGCAGCAGCCAGTCAGGAAGCAGCGACTCAGGAAGTGGCTCAGACTCTGGCAGCCAGTCAGATTCTGACACGGAGAAATCCAAGAAGAAGGTGGAACCACCAATTAAGTCAAACATTGATGGAGCTGAGGTAAAGAAATGATCAAAGATTGGTTTGTATTGGTTACTCAACTTAGGGCTGACTGATTAATCGTTTTCTAATCAAAACTGCAATTTTACAAAATGCAGTTTTCGAATTGGACAGCCTGCGATTTAAACTGCCATTAAAATGTATTTTTAAATACTACAGATTCTAAACAATCTGTGCGGCATCCCTGCAGGTTTCTGGCACATACACTCTGCCCTCCTCTGCAGACTTCACATAGAACCTGCAGAGTGAGTGGGCTGAGTGGTCATCTGAACCTAGGAAAACCCAACAGATCCCCCTTGAGCAAGCACTTGGCAATGTTCATAATGTTAGCGTCCTGTATTACAGGATCCTATATTATCCTGTATTACATTGAAAACAATACGACAGCAAATTATTTGTTGTGATAATTTTTATTCTTTGTTCAAAATAAACACTCACTTCAATTCTAATGCCTGCAACACATTTTAAACAAGTTTGGGTCGGCTGCATTTCAGGGCCAGTAATGAGGTAAAACAATGAAAATGATGATTCCATTTGAAACAGGTAATGTCAACAGATAACTGCATCTTGATAAGGTACAAAAGTGGCATCCAGGAAAGGCTGAGCCCTTTAGGAGAAAAGACGGGTTGAGGACCGTCAGTTTGCCAACATATGCGAGAGATAATTATTGAAATGTTTAAAAACAATGTTCCTCACAGAAAGATGGGAAGGATTTGGATATGTCACCTTCTACAGTGCAGAACATGATTAAAAGATTTAAGAAAATTGGAGGGATTTCAGTGTGTAAAGGGCACAAGCCTAAGCTGGATGACTGCTCTCTGATCCTTCAGACAGCGCTGCATCGAGAATTGTCACCCTTCTATAAACAATATACCCATACGGGGTAAGGATTAATTTGGCACAGCTGTGTCAGACATCACAATACGTAGTTACATCCATAAATGCTGCTTAAAACTGTACTGTGCCAAAAGGAAGCCCTATGTCAACAGTGTCCAGAAGTCAACTGCTCTGGACTCAGAGGCATCTGGAATTGACCATCACACAGTGGAAACCTGTACTGTGGTCAGACCAATCAGTATTTCAGGTGTTTTTGCAAGGAATAGACGCCATGTGCTCCGGACCAAAGAGGAAAAGGACCATCCAGACTGTTACCAGCAACAAGTCCAAAAGCCAGGGTCTGTCATGGTTGATGACGGGGTCTGAAGTTGTGTCAGTGCCCTTGGCAAATGTCACTTACACCTCTGTGATGGCTCCATTAATGCTGAAACATCCAGTGAGATGTTGGAGCAACATGTGCTGCCTTCAAGATGACATCTTTTCTGGGGATGCCCATGAATATTTCAACAAGACAATGCAAAACCTCATAGTGTACATTACCAAGGCCTGGCTGTGGAGGCTGATAAATTGAAAAGTCAGATAAATGTTGCAGTGACAGTATCTTGGAGATTGTTATGTCTGTCCTCCATTTCTGCAGCCAGAGCAGCTGTTCATCCATATTCTGTTTGTTTTGTAGTCACACCCAGTGTGACCTGGATAAATTTGGTTGCGACTGATCACTTGCAGTCTGGAGCCCTGCCCACAAAAGCAGCTTCTGTGGTGTTTAACAGTTGAACTCTGTAACCTTCACTGTTGGCATGAATGATTAAGTCCAGTGTATCACAAATGGATGGTGGATTTATTGTCAGTGTGCATTAACAGGATGCATTCAGGACTGACTTTTTCCAATAGTAGCACTGGTGCTCTTTACTGAAGATTTTAGGAGCATCAGCACAAAATTTAGGTGCAGCACTAGAAACGGCACGTAAGGCAACATGTTCCTAACTGTATTGTTAAGTAGTTTGCTAACAAATATACTGTTTACAGAAGTAACAGTGTGAGGTACTGCTTCATGGCCACTGTCTTCTCTAACCCGTCTCTGTCCCTAGATGATCAAAGGTGTCTTATGTTGGCATCATAAATTCTTGCATAAAATGATCTCTTTATTTGTTGTGTACATTTAAATGTTAATTCATTTTCTTCTACTTTATACTTCCACAAGTTTTTACTCCACTAGATTTATTGCAAGTAACTAGTTACTTTGCAGATTCATATTGCTAATATAAAATTAAAATCATCCTGCACTTCTAATTTTGGTAATTTTTGTAGTTGTGCTGCACCACTGCTGAAAACATGTAGGCAGAATTTTGAGCATTGTCAGTGGTGCACAGGGTTTATTTTGGTGGGTTGTTTAACACAGAACACGGTAGTCAGCTCTTGTCATGTAAAAGCTTCTTAACCTGTTCACATATTTTGGCTAACTTTCCACTTTACTCATTGACTGCAGTTCTGGAAGTCCAACCCAAGTATCTTGGCAGTGCAAAGATCTGCTATGCTCAGGAAACAGCAGCTTCAGCAGCAGCAGCAGCAGCAACAGCAGCATAAAGAAAACTCCTCAAATACTGGATCAGATGAGGTTTGTTCCAAACTGATCTGATCCCCAATTTATTTTCTCTGCTGTTTAACTGGAAACTAATCGGCATCATCTGTAGATGTTGTTAGCACTTAAATATGACATCTGTAATTGGAGGTGCACAATTGATTGATGAATTATCAATCATATTTTTGATCATGATCTTTTCCAGGACACATCAAGTAGTGATGAATCTGACTCGTCAAGTGGCTCCAAAAGGAGAAGAAATTCGGGCTTGTCTGACTCTGGATCGGGGAGTAGTTCTGGATCAAACTCAACAGCAGAAGACAACAGTGATGAAACCGCATCAGACTATGAGCCTGGTCACAAAATCAAAAGCAGAAAACCTCCAACCAAGTAAGTGGACATTTGCCTCTTAGCAACTGCCTTGGTATACAGAGCTGTCCCCTGACCATTTCCCTTTGTTGTGGTCACTCACCTCAGCCATTTAGGTACTTATGAGCTTTTAAAAGAATACACAGAGAGATCTGAGTTTAACTTGGCACCTGCATTATTTGTTCACCTTTCGTTGTGTCTCAGGATGAATTTCCGGAATGGGAAGAAAAGTAGCACCCAGAGGAAGAAAAGCCAGAAGTGTTCATCCTCTGAGGACGAGGATGATAACTACAAAAAAGTGGCATGTACAGGGCCACGGCGGCAGGCCACAGTCAACATCAGCTACAAGGAAGATGAGGAGCTGAAGACAGACTCAGATGATCTGGTGGAAGTTCTTGGTGAAGATGTCCCACAGACTGAGGAGGATGAGTTTGAAACACTGGAGAAAGTGATGGACAGCAGGATAGGAAGGAGGAGAGGTAAAGGATACAGTGCTAAGATTGAAGATGTAATCCACTGCTTTAATTTAACTGGAGCTATAGACATGCTGTTCTGTTCCACATATCTAAACAGTTACTTATTAGCCGGCAGTGTATGCTGAAATGATTGCTTCTCTACAAGTTCATGTTTGTATAGCAGGTGTTTTGATAAGTAGTTGGTGTTGGCTTTTTCCTCAAGGAGGTTTTGTTGTACGTCAAATAATGAGCATAGGTGTTAACACCTTGATTAATTTTTCACTTCACCTGGGCTCCCTCTCTTCATTGCAGTGTCTCAGCTGCTCTTCCACACACAGAGAGGAGAAGCTGCTCCAAAACACCAAAACCATATTTCCCAATCCACTATTCTAATTCACTGGTCTCTTCAAGTACTGATAAAAAGCCCCAGGTCCTTACAAACTGAGAAACCAGAGAACTCAGTCAATTGTACCAGTGCACCCAATTAATTGTTCACATTTGTACATACTGATTTGAGTGAAATGCTTGCACTGTAGGGGCTTGATTTAGATTTTTTTTTTTTTTTTAGGAGAACTTTTGAGAAACAAGGGAGATTGCTTAGAACACCTATGTGATCAAAACAGCTTGAAGTTTCTGTTGACCATCAATAAATTCTGTGTTTTGAGTGTGCACATACAAAGTATTTAAATAAATTACACTCGAGTGGAATTGTGCAGCATATTTAAATTTTTATGGGTTTTCGTTGACTACCCAGAAACAAATAGCCTCATTCTATGGTGTATAAAGAAATGGGTTACAGTATTTCCATTTATTTGTTTATTTTTTTTTGAATTCCTAACAGCAACTGGAAGTGCCACCACTGTATATGCTGTAGAAGCAGATGGGGACCCTAATGCCAACTTCAGCCCCAACAAAGAGGCTGGTGAGATCCAGTATTTGATAAAGTGGAAAAACTGGGCCCATATCCACAACACTTGGGAGACAGAGGAGACACTTAAGTTACAAAACGTCAAAGGCATGAAGAAACTGGACAATTTTAAGAAGAAGGAACAGGAAAAAAAGAAATGGTGAGAGGCTTTATAATAACCTTTTATCACAATCGTACACACCAAGCGGGCGTTAGCGGGGGGGCGCATTTCAGTGGTGCCACTCCAATACATGGATGTATTAAAGGTTTAGTCAGCAATTCTAGCAAAAGAATATTTACATTTTGATCACTATGAATATAAATCCACAAGTTGTTTCAGTTAGGAGCTCATAATTCATGAGCGTACATTACCACAGCAGCGATGCTAGTGACTGGTGGACGACTTGATGTCTACATGAGTCTACATGAAAACCAGTGTCATCCATTGCAACCTGTATTATACATAATTGGAAGCATAAGCATCTAAGCATAACTGTCATGCTAAAGACACCGTGTAGCACCGTGTAGCCCTCATCTACACACATTGTGACTGACTGATGACCATCTTCATTGGCTAAAATTTTAATCACATTTGCCCCTAAGTAACAAAAAAATAAAGGCTATCTAATTTATTTTAGTCTATACAGAGGTTCAAAGCAATCCTCTTCTCATCACAAGCACATTTATTGACAGGATTTGTGAAATTTAAAATTCTCTTTAGTGCCCTCTGAAATATTGCCTTAAATGAGGTTACAAAACAATTCCGTTTTTAAACTGAGTAGGTTATGGCCGACTTTCTAATGCTATTTCCCCTTTCTACAGGTTAAAGGCAGCTTCACCAGAGGATATAGAGTATTTCAATTGCCAGGACGAATTGATGAATGACTTGCACACTCAATACCAGCTAGTAGAGCGGATCATAGGTAAGCTTTCTGTGATCTCTTGGCATTTGGTGGTGAAGCAATTTGCACACAGTATTTAGACTTCATTTTTTTCCTACACTTTATTGTTGTAGATGCTTAATTTTAAATAGTTTACCTCACAATGTCGAAATTAAAACATGTTTTTCTAAAAAAAAATTTTGTAAATTTCTTAAACGAAGAACTGAAAACTCTCCTTTAAAGAAGTACTCAGACCCTTTGCTGTTGCACATCAGATTGTGGTCAGGTGTCCACTTGTGGCAAACGGAATTAATTGGACACAATTCTGAAATGCAAACACCTGTGTATACAAGGTCCTACAATTCACACTGTATGTAAGGACAAAGACCAATGGTGAAGCCCAAGTAACCCTCTGGGATAAAATTTAGTGCCCAGGTATAGATCAGAACAAGGACATTCTACCACTTTTCAAGCCTTAGGAGAGGATGACAGGAACACAGTGGCTTCAGTAATTGTGAAATAGAAGAGGTTTGGAGCCATCACGATTCTTCCTGGAGTTGACTGTCCAGCCAAACTGAATAAATGGGCCAGAATGATTTTGTGCATAGAGGTGACTGTGAAACCAACACTCACGCTTTTTTCAGAGGTTTTCCACAGCAACCTGCAACAAGGACAGTTATCTCAGCCTGACTCCATCAGTTTGGCTGTTATGGTTGAGTGGCTAGATGGAATTAAGTTAAGTTTAGACAGATGGGCTGTTTTATCAGTTTAAAATGACAAAAGTGCAGTAAGTGAAGGGGTCTGAATGCTTTCTGAAATCATTATATTTAATCCCCCAGAGTTTGTGTAACTTGATGGGTTTCTGATTTTTATTGAGCAGGACATTCAAACCAGAAGTCAGCTGCCGGTTACCCAGACTATCTGTGCAAGTGGCAGGGTTTACCATACTCCGAGTGTAGCTGGGAGGATGGTGCTCTGATTGCAAAAAAGTTCCAGAAATGCATCAGTGACTACATGAGCAGAAACCAATCCAAGACCATTCCATTCAGAGACTGCAAGGTAACTTAATGCCAAGAGGTGGGAGTCTTTGGTAAACAAACGATTCTTGGTGTCATTCGATTCATAAGAATTTTTGAATTAAAAACAATTTTTGTCAAACAACTGATTTCTGTCCTTTCACCCACTGAGCTGTTAATAAAGCTTAAGCTAACTGATTCTGATGAGCATCAAAACCAAGTATTTTACATACTGCTTCCCAGCAGTATGTAAGAATCTTTAGGCAGATTAAATCCAGATGAACCTATACCAGAATGATGGGAAGAGAAAAGAGTTCATGTTCCAAGGCACTCTTAAGAGCTGTCTAGTTTGATATTGGATCTGTTTAGCAACAAAGAATACCCCCAGTTCTGCTATTTACCATCTAAAATAAAAATGAGTTCTTATCTAAATGTTGGCATTACTGACTGCTGTTCTTTCCTGTAGGTGCTAAAACAGAGACCCAGGTTTGTGCCCATGAAGAAGCAGCCAACTTACATAGGTGGGGATGGACTGGAGCTCCGAGACTACCAACTGGACAGTTTGAATTGGATGGCCCACTCCTGGTGCAAGTATGACTCGAGCAATACTTAAGTTCTCAGCTTGCCTTGTCTGAAAATCCATACTGTAATGATGATGGGGACATAATCAGTTTCTCTAGATTTCCACAAAGCTCTACTGTTTTATGTACACATTTGGGCACCCCTGGATATATTACACATTTTATTTTTCTGCTGAAAGAAATGAATACAACCTCTGCCGCAAACGGACATTAAAAACAATTGCTTTTCAAGTTTAATGTACTGCTACTTTTATTTTGCAAATATAAAATAGAGAAAAATCTGAAACAGTAATTGTCATTCACAAATATTGCCCATCCTATTAAATGCCATTTCATGGTTTCTGCTTACAATATGTATGTCTTCATATGTAGACATCTACACTATAAAAGTGCCAATTGCATATGTGCCAGAAAAGTAAACTGGGCCCTAGTTTTGTGAGCCAAATTATTTCCTATATTGTCCTATTCTTAAGTGGCCGCACACACAATTTTCTTTTATTAGATTTTTTTTTTTTGTTACGTTGTTCAGCCAAATGCAGCAAGCAAACAAGCTCCTCTTGCTGTCAGGAGGTTGCCATCCTTTTTTCTAATGTACCTGTCCACATATAGCATTCATATAACTAAGTAATCTCCTAGCAATGTGCACTTGGATGTATATGATTGGCTAACATACTGCTTCACTGGATAGCATCTATCGTCAAGACACAAAGCAGTGTTGCATTGTCTGTGTTGTCCCTGCATGATGGCCCTCCACTATGTCTGAGCAAATGCTGGTGTGAACATGGCTTAACCACAGGATGGAAATATTAGTCTTTGGGGTTATGTGGTCAGTGAAGCAGGAAACATTTCACAGCCAGATTCCACTAAATATTAAGCAAGTAAAGTTTATTTATATAGCACCTTTCAAAGTCAGTAGACACAAAGTGCTTCACACAAAAGTTAAAAAGAACACAATTATACAGTATACACCATTGGTAAATTTTTCATGCAAATGTCACACAAACCATATCATTTGACTTTTGGTTTTAAAACATTTGACGGCAACTTTGTTTTACTGTTGCTTTCCTGCTCTTCGTTCATAGAGGCAACAGCTGCATTCTTGCTGATGAGATGGGTTTAGGGAAGACCATTCAGACCATCAGCTTCCTCAACTACCTTTTTAATGAGCACCAGCTGTATGGGCCCTTCTTGTTGGTTGTGCCTCTTTCTACACTAACCTCTTGGCAGAGAGAAATCCAGCTCTGGGCCCCTCAGATGAATGTTGTGGTCTACCTGGGAGACATCAACAGCAGGAACATGGTATGGGTGGTTCAAACAATCCTGTTACACACAGTAAGAGCAATGGCTGTACACCAGGTCACATCTTAGAAAACTACTTTTTAAAAACCTATTTATATGCTTCATATTTCGTGATGACGACTGCTTTTTCCTCAAATAGAAATGGTTTATTTCAAATTACAATAAGGCCTATGAAACAAGGAATATAACACAGTCGTATGTAAAATTCATCAAATCAATGGGCCTAATTTAAACAAAAATATACAGTAAACATGCATGGCCCTGAACTCCATTGTTGACCTCGCAACGGCTGACTTCTGACTGAAAAGTGTTGGATGACTGTGCAAGACGCAATCTGGGTTAGACTTGGGCATGCTTCAGGCTCGTGGTGTGAGCGGTACTGGAATGAAATTGGAGCGGGATATAGAGCTGCTCTGCACTCTGTAGTGTCTGCTAACTGGATGACTTGTGCTCATAATTGGGTCTCTGTATCTGGTTTGGTGTTCAGAATGGGCTGGGTGGAACATAGGCGACTGCTTCTAGATTCTCCAGCTAGCACTAGTTAGATTTTGAATTCTTTCTTGTTGCTTTAACAAATGTGTTTTTTTGTCTTCTGTTTTTATTTAATAGATCAGGACACATGAGTGGATGCATGTTCATAGCAAGAGACTGAAATTTAACATCCTCCTCACAACATATGAGATTCTTCTCAAAGACAAGGTCAGCAGCTAATTCATTTTATCTTGGATCATGAGCTTGCTGATGTCACTTAAACTCTGACACTTTTTAAATGGTAAATATAATTTCTGAAGATGTGCAACATGATAGCACATGTAAAGCCTGTAACAAATGTGTGTCTGTAGTCATTTTTGGGCAGTGTTAACTGGGCCTTCATTGGAGTGGATGAGGCACACCGACTGAAGAACGATGATTCCCTACTCTACAAGACCATGATTGACTTCAAGTCCAATCACAGGCTTCTGATCACAGGAACACCACTGCAGAACTCCCTGAAAGAGCTGTGGTCCCTGCTGCACTTCATTATGCCTGAGAAGTAGGCCATATCATTTGTTACCCTTAAAGGCCAGCTTACAGTAGTGGTTTTCTCCTTGCTGCAGTGATGTAGAAGTGTAATGAATACCTTCAGTACTCCTCGATACAAATGACAGGTGTGGTCACAGGTGTAACAGAGCACACCGTTCACGTGTGCACTGGACTTTAAAGTTGACCAAAAGCTGTGAGTGACTTATGGACTGATGACCATAAGTTTGAGACTGAAAAAAATATGGGTGTGTAGTTGGAAAGATGTAACCTCTGACCCTTGTAGCCCTTTCTTCATCTGTGCATAAGGCCCGAAGCTACATTAGCCCCGACTAGCGTAACACACTTGAATCACTGACCAAAGTGTCAGATTGTAACCAGTTTTGATTATGAGGAGGTATAGAAGGATTTTGTCTTATTATCTTGTACCACATGTTGACTGTGTCTCTGCTATTCCTTGTTGTGTTGTTTAAGGTTTCACTCTTGGGAGCTGTTTGAGGAGGAGCATGGTAAAGGTAGGGACTCAGGCTACACCAGTCTGCATAAAGAGTTGGAACCTTTTCTGCTACGTAGAGTCAAGAAGGATGTGGAGAAATCTCTTCCTGCCAAAGTGGAGCAGATCCTTCGAGTGGAGATGAGTGCTATTCAGAAACAGTATTACAAGTAAGAGTTGTGTTGCAATTTCTGATATTTAACCATTTTTATTATGAAGACCTATCTGATTATTAGGCTGGGAATGTTCGGTATGTGTTCAGGCCAACAATAGTGTTCTTGCAAAATAAAGTACATGTCGCTAGTGAGAGAATGAAATGTGAAGCGTGTTCAAGGTGTTACTATTTGCACCAGCACAGATAATATTGAAATGAATAAGGATCCTGGGCTTTTTTTGTTTTGTTTTTCCTGGTATGTTGAGTCATACTAAAAAAATCCTTGGATGTGGCAGTTTGTTCTTCTCCTGTTTGTAGATGAGGCTATTTATAGATGAGTTAATTTTGCTGCTAGATATTTTTAGCATGATTTTTAGAATGTTATAGTCATGCGACTGTGTGTATCTTCTCGTTTGCGATCAGATGGATCCTGACCAGGAACTACAAGGCTCTGAGTAAAGGTACCAAAGGTAGCACGTCAGGTTTTCTGAACATCATGATGGAGCTGAAGAAATGTTGTAACCACTGTTACCTTATCAAGCCTCCAGAGGACAACGAGTTCCTCAACAAAGCTGAAGCCTTACAGGTCTGTTTATTTTGTATTTTGGCCATATTGGCATCACAATTTCTTTTTAGTTCTGACCATTAACTGTATATATGGCTGATAGTCTTAAGAGCTCCCAGAAGTGAAACCACCACAAATTCGTCACCCCCTGGTTAGCTGGTTTCAGTATAGGTCATAAATAATGCCTCCATGTTAGTGAATGGAACATGAGTTAAGCTACAAAAGTATACTCTAAATCAAATAAATTTTTCCCAGAGGCAATTTCTCAGTTTTGGTATTAATGCACTGTTTTGTGTATAAGAGGTCAGTTTTCAGTTACGTTTGTTCTTAAATTATTAGATTATTTAAAAAGGCGTGTATTTAGGTTGATTTGACAGCTGTGATATGCAGCCTGATGCTGTTTCTCCACTTCTGGTCACCTCTGCACAGAATCTGGTCACAAAAAAGCAAGATGGCAGCTGCTGTATCAATGATATTTTGGCTTCTCTTTTGCATAGTGGAGGGGAAGTGGTGATGCAGCGTTCATTGTGTTTGCATCCCCTTACTTTGAAATGCCAGAAAGAGTAAAATTTCTTTTCTCATCAACATAATATTTAATGCACATTCAGCTAGTACAACTGTTCCTTCATCGACAGAAGCAACACAAATGGCCAGGTTTTGTATAAGAAGAAGCATAGTAAAATAATAAAAATCCTCTGTGTAAAAGTTTGCATCCCCCTTGACATACCCTCTAGGTAATTAACTCTAATATGTAAAATCAAATATGATTTTGCACTTTATTTTCAAGTGGGTAGATCTCAAGCAGTTTGCTGATAGCAACAAAAACAGTGGCATCAAAAAAACAGTTTTCAGAAGACCTCAAATTGAAACTGGTAGACCTTCATAAAGCTAAAGAGGGATATAAAATTTTTCAACGTGTATAGGGATACCAGTACCCAAAGAGGTTGGAGGAGGTTCGGGAGGACATAAAGTATAGGAGAACATTTCATTAAGGGAGATGCAAACTTTTAGACTGAGATGATTTTCATTATTTTACTCCAACTTTTTTACACGCTCCCTGAACATTTGTGTTGATTCGGTTGATGAAGGAACAGTTGTACTAGCTGAAGGTGCATTAAGTATTATGTTGTTGAGGGGAAAAAAATCAGTTTTACCCTTTTTGCCATTTTAAAGTTAAGAGATGCACACATACAAGCAAATGTTTGTACTCAACTGTATGTAGTCAATGGTGTCTACAATGTGTTCACACATGCAGGCATCCTGTACTGGTTTTGTGGACCATAGATCATTTTAGCACCATTTTTACAGGGATATGATTTACAATGTTTAATGTAAATGTACCAGATGATGAATGAATAAGCCTAAAATTCAAAACAAGGACCTGGTGTGTGCTAAAAGTAAGAAGGTTTGACACACGATTGGCTGAATTGTTGCGCCAAGGGAGCGTCGTTACTTTCAGCAGCAGCCACTTTTTATTTGAGATTTCACTGCAGCAAGATTTGAAAATGGAGTCTCTCACTTGGTTTTCCTGATGAGGGGTTAAAATAATGCCTAGGACCAAAGGCTTCATGCTGCAAGCTGGTAACACTACACCAACACCATGAGTTGTGCCAATTCTCAGCAGCTGGCACCGCCTCCACATGATCAAGAATCGTAGAAACGGGGTCAACCACATCCTTCTCACTGAGAGAGAGGTTTTTGTGTCTTCCTCGCTCAGTTGCTCTGAGCAGTTTCCTAAATCACCTTTAAGCTAGGACTATAGTATTTTAGGCCCAAAGCTCTCTTACAGTCTCAGCATGTTTGTGAATATGGGCTCAGATGTTTGGCCAGTAGTGCTGCTTACTCTCTCTTGTTCACACATCCCCAGTTGGTTGTGTCTGACTGGGATGGGTTTTTTTTTCCCCCTCCAGACTGAATTATTTAGTTACAAGATGGTTGAAATTAATTTCATCATTATGATCAGTCTAAATGTACAGTAGTATGCCCCCCCCTCCCCCCGTCGTCATTTTTGTGACACAGTATTACTTTATGTATGACCTGGTTCTTCACAGACCACCACCTGTTTCAGTTGCTTCTAGCAGAACACAGGTATGATATTGGTGAGAATCGACCCCTAACTGTTAAACTCCACTTTTCCTTTTACAGCAACTGATCCGTTGTAGTGGGAAGCTAGTTCTGTTGGATAAATTGCTGGTGCGTTTGAAGGAGCGAGGCCACAGAGTTCTTATCTTCTCCCAGATGGTACGAATGCTGGATATCCTGGCTGAATACCTGAGGTGCCGACAGTTCCTCTTTCAGGTAACCACACACTGTTTTCACATGGCGATCAGACTGCATATATACAAAGATGCACCCGTGAAATACTATTCAGGCTAACCAGAAAAAAATCAAATGCTCTTTACATGTTTGTTATTAACTTAGAAATCTGAAATGTTGTATGAAATGTTTGTGCAGAGATTAGATGGCTCCATTAAAGGGGAGATGAGGAAGCAGGCATTGGACCATTTTAATGCTGAAGGCTCAGAGGTAAGTGCCGCTGTATTCTCTGGATACAGCAAATGCAGTTTTGCTTTATTTGAATAAACCAGGACTGTTACATATAATAACCCTTCCTTTATGCACCCAGGATTTCTGCTTTTTGTTATCAACACGTGCGGGTGGTTTGGGTATCAATCTTGCATCAGCTGACACGGTAGTCATCTTTGACTCAGATTGGAACCCACAGAATGATCTGCAGGCTCAGGCCAGAGCCCACAGAATTGGACAGAAAAGACAGGTAGGGAACAGCTCTCATAAACCTTGATCTATATTTTTTGTTTGTTGTAATGCATTTTGCTGCAGGAATTCAAGCTGTCACCTACATTTTCCCACTATGGAGTTGGCAGTCTGTAACTTCATGTAGAGTCCCCACCATGGGAAGTTAACAAACTGGAACCTGGAGCTTCCCATGCCCAAACTTGAAGGCAGATATTGTCCTTTTATGCTAGGGCTACACAGTTGTGGCAAAAATCATAATCACAGTTATTTTGGTCAATATTGAGATCACAATTATTTAACATGATTACTCGTTGACTTTGGAAACATCACACATTTATTGAAGATTAAAAACAAAGACTTGTCTTTTATCAGTGGCCTTTCTTGAACTATAAATATTATCCAGCTAAAAATTGTTTCATCTCATTGGTTCCTAATTGGTTCTTTTAGAAACGCTGTGGAAAGGTTCATGCCCAATGTCTGCGATGGTTGGTTTCGATTTTATGAGAAATTAATCTTGGTTTAAGTTAATTTATACAACTTAACTTCTTTCCCACCATAGCAGATATCTCAAATACACATTTATATGGCTGGAATGTAGGATAAGTCACATAGTTTAAACATTAGAATTAGAGTATTATATTCTGTGGGGACAATGGTCAATTTTGGATAAACACAAGAATAATCAGTTATTAGCACAGTTGTATATTAAACAGACAAATGAAAATATACTTAATTTTCTAAATGTTGATGTTTAGCAATGTTTAGTTAGAATTTGTCACAGTGAGCAACTGTTGTTTGTAAAGGCTGCTTCACCAGTGATGTCATATCCCACTTTCAATCGCTAGTGGTATGTTTTAAGATTGAAAGCATTTTCTCCTAAGTCTTAACCAAGCTTAGACATTTTAGAACACTTTATACACTTTAGATCACAGATTATATATTTTCAAGCCAACTGTAGCATTTTCACTGGTGTATAAGATCGAGAGTAGAATGAACAGGAGTCTTTTATGGTGGTAACGAAAATGGGGAGTCTCCCTCTGCATTCCCGAGTGTCCTGTTGTAGATAAAGGCCACGTTCTGACTGAGTTTCAAAGGTGTGAGGGGAAAAAACACATCTCTCCCCATTCATTAGTATGGGGGATTACGCTTGCCACAGCAGGGGTCTCCGGCAAAATGGTTCAACTTTGTGTGGAGAAAAACTTGGATCTCATTAAACTTTCACCGTACCTGGCGGTGACATCATCTGGCAAAGGAGCTGAAGGCTCTATTCCATTATAAAGCCTCGTCTGGTTCTTTCAAACCAGGAACTCCGAGGGACGACTCAGACCACTTGAGTATATAAAAAATATAACCGTGCTGGTTTATTCAAAAAGTCACAGGCAAGAATTAACACTTCAAGTCCAGAGATCTTCCAACCCCCAGGCTGCCCGAGCAGCCCGGAAACCAAAAAGACCCCGAACCAAGCATTGCTATACAATATTAATCATTTCTGGGCTGTCGAACCGTGACGTCACC